TTACTGTCCTTGTCAAATTGGTATATCATTTATAGGAAGGAGGTTCGCGAAGAAAAATGTAATCTTCTAAGTTTCGAACGATTGAAAACCTGTTTATTTTCCAGAAAGACGATGGTCTGATCGTCCGCCCTAAAACCAAAGTAACGGCAGACGTTATAAACACTTTGTCAAGTCCGTGAATCGTTGGACGTGCTGGTACGGGCGTCGATGATATAGACATACCAGCAGCCACGCGTAAAGAAGTATTGGTTCTCAAGTAAATTCAGATCTGCTGTTTATCTAATATTAAGGTCACAGATGTTAGTGTTCGCGTGGACGCGTAGGGGTGAATGATCTTTACATAGATTTTCCGTGATGAATTTTTTCAATGTTTTTCTCCCACTTAAGATGATTAATCGCTCATTTCCTCAATATTACGCCTATCGGGTAAAACTATTTGATGCAAATAAGAGTTACAATGCTTTTCTGCGTTTATTACAATTGACTTTTTGAAAGATCTTTCGAACCTCCACGTTCGCTATTTACAATGAAAGAGCAATGTGGTCTTCCAAACGCTTGTGGTCTCGAGTCAGTGCAGTTCAGTATTGATTGCCGAATCAAGTTCATTGCTGGCCGTTGTCGTGGCTCGAGCTGCTGCCCTTCGCTCGTTGTTTCAAGCACCCAAATAAGTATAGAGACTCGCGCGTCCAGCGGACAGCATTCAACTCGTACAGAGCACAGCACAACGAACGAACCAACTGCGCTCCTCCATGGTGCGGGCGGACCAGTCGAGGACGACAGGCCGCTGGGTGCGCCAACTATACAAGTCCCTAGGCGTGATCGGCTCCGGGCCCATCGGGCGCGTGGTCGCGCGGTCGCGCAGTCGCCGGCACCGCGAAGACCCATGGCATGCGCGTGATCGCGCTCGAGCCACGCCTGAGCAAGCCGACGAGTTGGGCGTCGTCAAGGTCGACCTCGAGTACACACCTCGAGTACATCTGGCGGAGCACCGCCTGCGTGAGCGCGCCCTCGCGTCCGCGTGCCACTCTCGCCTCCAGCGAGCGAGTCTGATCAACGCCGCGACTGGATAGTTGTTCAAACTGATAAAGAGCTGGGCGTGCCTGTCGACGGAGTCGACAGCTATTTCTGACTAAAACTTACATCCGGCAAAAAGTGGTCTGTTGCTATTTGAATTTAGAATCGCGCCAATGCCGCGATTTCTACTGTTTCCATCAACTTATTTTACGCGCACAAGTGCATCATAGCACATTCACTCTGTCACTCGCATCTGTCAGGCTGCGAAATGGTCAAGATTCAATCATAAATATAATAATAAATACAAAAATAACTGTACGTTTTTATATTTTTATAAATAGTCACATTGGTGGAGTTGGTATTACTCCAAGAGTCCTTGTCATTGCCATAGAAATGGATAATCGCTGAGAAAACGAACTACGCCTGACAATGCCTAAATGCCGAGGATAAATGCGTATGGAATTTACGTTCGAATATTAGCAAGGACGAGGAGGAGGAGGAGGAGCAGCAGCAGGCTGAAGCCCGGACAGGACAAGCCGGCTCGTCGTGGAGGGACGATCTGGCAAATGAAAAAGAGAGAGCCCATCGTGGTCAGTCATCGGCATAGTCGTGCCGACGCCCGCGCACGGGCTCGCTCGGCCTGCCTGTATCTGCCTGTAGTGTAACGTCAGCCGTGTGCGGATACGCACAGCCGACAACTCTCTGACCCATAAATGCTTCGCTTGGATTAGCGCTTTTCCAGCTGGCTGATCCTTAGTTTACTGACTTGACGATAAGATGTCTCGTCGTCTTGTTATTTGACTTGTGGCCGATAGATTTTCCCGACATGTTGCGTGGAGCGCCGAAAGTTCAGGCACGTAACGTTCGATAGAAAATAACAATTAGATTTTGCAGCGCTGTGACTGTGCGTGATGCGCGTGACTATTTTGCTTTCAAATTTGGATTAATTAATTGATTATCAATCGGTTGAAAATCGAAAAATCAACTCAATGTACCTTGTCGAAAGTTACTTGTCAACGGTAGCGACATTGACTTTTCATTGCATTTGTGGCTAAGAACATGCTCTCAGCACCGAATTAGCTTTATTCCGCGAACAATGTCGATTTGGCTGGAAAATTGGCGCGTGCTCATCTTCGCCGGAAGTCTATCCAGAGTCAAGTTGACAATGACTCGGCAGTAATGTTCATTTTTCACTGTTAGTTATTCTGGCTGGTTATTTTTATAACGGACAACGAATAATTTGATATTATTCAATTGACTTTTAATTACAACATATGCAGATAATGACAATGGCAGTGAAATCGAGAATAATATATTCTCGGGAAAAAAAGACTATATTTGTGATGAAGTTGATGATATCGAAGCGAAATGAATAATGGCGTAGCTTCTTTTATTGTAAATGTAGTATTGATTTTGATATCGGTGATATAACTAATAATATAAATGCTGGAAAGATTTGACTACTGATATAACCCATTTATCTTTATAAACAAACCATCCTGAATAAAAAAGGTCAACGAAAATGCCAACATTCTTCGTGGAAAATGGAGTATTGGTCATTTCACCTCACGAGTATGCTCATTCTGATTAAATTAATTATAATGAATTTGTCCAGCACAACAAAGCTAAAGTAACTCGTTCAGTTTTCAGCGCTTTTCCTCCCACCACTAGGCTCATGCGTTGACTCGAGGCCGTATTATGTTTTTCCAATCAATGTTATATGTAAACAAACAATGAAAGCGTTACGAAGTGACGGATAAGAAAGTACGACATTTGAACTGAAGGCTGAAATTAGTTTCGCATCTCAATATCGATAATTACAGCGTTACGATTCTTTGCTGAAAAATGTCCAAGTCTGTTGCTAATAAAACTAAAGAGCCCTTCTACAAAATAAACTTTGATAGATCTGTAATTCAAGGTTAAGCGTTGTAAATTACTTTGGAAAAAATTCAGCAAAGATAAATAATTTTGTACGTCATACATAAGAAATTCTTGTTTTTTGGTTCTGAAAGTATAATGCAAAACAAATAGAATGGTATGTAGGGACATTTTTCATCAAATATGTGAAATTTTTATCGCAAAAATGCGCCTGTTTCTGCAATTAAAACATATCATGAGTCATTGTTCTATTTTTATTGTCTTATTTAGTAAGAAAAAAAAGAGATATTAAAAAATAAAATGATTTATTTTTCGACGGTTTTTATTTTAAATATCTATATTACCTTATTGGTCGATTTTAATGAAGATACCTCATTCGACGTGGATTTTCAAAAGAAAAGAGTAGCTGAAATGATTTTGTACTACATTAGTACTTGATTGGAAAAAAAAATAATTTTTTACTCAAACTGCATTGTGTAAACAATTTTACAGGTGGATTCTCGTCATGATAATTTGAAAATTTATTCAGCATCGCTATTAAAAATTTGAAACTAGTTTCGTTCAAAACAAGTGCTGCTAAAAATTTTTTTTCATAATTTAATCGAGATTGCCTGGAATATGATTGTCAAGTGCCTCTATGATATGTGCATGATCATCGAAAGGTGTTGGCTTGTGCAGAAGCTCACTTTCAAATGAATTCTTAGAAAATGTATGCCGCTGTACTAACGATTAGTTTTTATTGAATGCTGACGCGAATTATAGGGAAACGATGATGCCCGTGGAATAGAAATCGTTGTTTGACACGATTAGAAATGCATTAGCCATGCAATTGGCGATATCGATAAGAACGATTCGTGGCTTGCTAGTTTTATTGTCATACAGTCGAACGGTTTAGTATCGCTAAAGAAAATAATTGCAGCGAATTGGATTTCCAGATTTTGGCGTATAGCTATAGATTGTTACGACAAGTTGGCTAATATGCTTACTTTTCGACGTCTAGCAAAGTTATTGATTGTCCAAGCCGATCAAGTCGCTCGTTCATATTGCTAGGCTGTCCATCTAGTTATACGAGTTATAAAATAGACAGCGTAAAATAAATCTTTGATCGTCGGAGGCTGAGCGATGTTTCGGTGCTATGCATCGCACAGTGATCGACTGTCAGCATTGCTGCGAACGTCTCACTGTCTTCGATTGAATATCGTCCGCGTATTCTGTATTGACGCTCCTTCAAATTTGTTCGAACCGGACCTGTCAGGCCAATACCGAACTTCTCAAATACTTCGTAGGCTCGGACTACTCGTAACATTCGGATAGCTCTCAGCATAAGTCGTTGCAATAATATGCAAAGGAGCTCGCGTCTCAGTTCCAGGGACGTTCGAAAGGAATATCGCGTCGCGCTGCGCTCCGACCTCGTACGCGCGCTCTATCGCCATACACTCTCACATTAACATTAATAATAAGATCCATATTTTTCATTTTACATCGGCAGTCACACTCACCCTGCTGACACTCCCCTCGTATGCTATATCGCTGACAGCGCGAGAGCCAACTGTATTATGCGTCGTACTATTTACACGGCATCGTCAATAACGACGACGCCCGCCGTTTCTAATCCAATTTATTTACCGACTCCAACTGTCATTAAGCATCGTGGAAAATATCGTTTTTGTCAATCGATACAGCTGCCGATAAATGAACACGACGCAACTCATATAACTCTCCAATAACAAAGAGCTATAAATTGCATTAAACCATTGATCGATACTCCAAAGAAATAGGTGAAAGAGTGCACGTAAAAATTATACAGCAGGCGCACACAAATTGCACAAATAGAAAGTAGAAAGATAGTACGGCGCCAGCAATTATTCAAACATCCCGCGCAGAGAGAAGGTCATAAGCCGTAATCACGGGTGATGACCAAGCCAGCGCAGAAGTGTGGCAACAGTGCCTGCTCCGAAAGGCAGCTGCCTGCTTCGTACGCGAGCCTCGCAAGCGAGTCGTGCTTCTGCCGCTTCTGGTCGCGCTCGCCGCTCGCGATAAACACAGAGACGGATAGAGCAGAGCCAGCATTCGGGTCAAGTCAGAAAGGCAGTCTGTCTTTGTCCCTCTCCCTTGAACGAGCAGACAGTATGAGTTGGCGTCGAGTGTCGAGTGTCGAGTATCGACTGCAGTTGAGCGTGTGAGCTGCTGCCGTATACCCCTGCCCCGCGAACATCAGAACCGTGGTGCGAACTACGGTCGGATTGTCGATAGTGTCGATTGTTGCAGTTGGCGCTGAGGGGGCAGCACTGACAGCACCGCGCAGTTGGAGGTTGGCGAGCGAGTGGAACCTGCGTAGCCGTAGCCTCGAACCAACAGTAATCGTCAGTGAGTCGTCAGCCGTCGTCTCTCAGCGTGCAGTGAACGCGTGCTGGTGACGAGAGACTGAGACGACGGACGAGAAAGATAGTGTGGCGAGGGGCGAGCATCAAGCCAGGTCGTCTCGTACGTGCGCGTGTGTGAATGTGTCCCGCAACGGGTTCGAACTTGAAGCAGAATGAGAGGCTGTGCGTGCAGCCACTGCAGCAGCGATTGACCAAGGCGACTGCGGCACACTCGCTAGAGAACAGCATTCTCTCGGACTGTCAAGTGCAGGCGAAGAGAGCGAATGACTGCGAATTCAACGAGTGACCGTGCTCAATGATGTGTGCAGCGCAGGCGGGGCTAAAGTCGAGGACGAGCAGTCTGTGTCTGATGGGCTCCTGGAGTGTTGCGCAAAAAGTGCCGACGGCCACGAGCCCAGTAGTGCTTAGCAGGTAGGACGACCAACGAGCAGAGCTCCTTAGACAGACAGACAGGCAGCGAGAGAAGGAATCGAGGACGCAGATCGACGTAGAGGAGAGCGAGCGAGAAAGAAAGGAGAGAGAGAGAGAGAGATAGATAGAGAGAAAGAGAGACTGAGACTGAGAGGGAGAGACGGCACGTACAACAAGATGGCTGTGTGTCGCTGCGAGCGAGCCCGTACCTGCTGACTACTTCGCACGAGCTGCTATAGCATTTGGAGTCGGTCGAGGCCGTGCGTCTGCTCCGGAGGAATATGAGCGACAACGCCGCGGGCCCTATGTACTGGCCCTGCACCACTTGAGTCAAGTACGGATCAGCAGCAACAGCAGCAGCAGCAGCATTAGCAGCAGCAGCACTAGCAGTCACCAAAGAGAGACAAGCACTGGCCAAAGAGCTGACGAGTGACCAGGTAAGCCATGTTCCGGTTTTTTTTTCATGTGACGTTGTCGTCTCGTTGTCATCGTTGTTATCGTTGTTATCGTTGTCGCTGTCGTCGTTGTCGTTGTCGTTGTGTTGTCGTCGCTGTCGTTGTCATTGTCGTTGTCGTTGTCGTTGTGTTGTCGTCGCTGTCGTTGTCGTTGTCGTTGTCGTTGTCGTTGTCGTTGTCGTTGTCGTTGTCGTTGTCGTCATCGTCATCGCCGAGCTCGCGCAAGCCGTTAGTTCGAGGGCTATCGACTAGAAGGCCTCCATTGTCGGGTAGACCAGACTCGTCGGCTGTTTGCTCCCTTTTCAAGAGCCTTTTCCCCTTCCTCACGATTGCCGTCACCAAGCTTCGAGAGTAGCTTTTACCAACGGCAACTCAACCAGTGGCTTGCCAATTACACCAGGCTAACTTTCTCTTGCTGCTATACACCTCGCTCCTCTCTCTCTCTCTCTCTCTCACTCATTCACTCTCTCAATGCGTATACCACTCTGCGTATGACTTTCCTCTTTCTTGTTTTTCGGTACACGATGCGCCGTCACCAATGTCATACGGCTCTTTTTGCGTTTTCTCTGTCTCTTTGCACACCTCTGCTGTTCAACTGGTGCCAGACGTGTTCTGTAGCTTCAAAGTTTCCACTTTGGAGAGTAACACGCATCTGCGTCTCTTTAAGCAAAATCGTCAAGAAATTATTGTGTGACTTTTCGTCGACGCTTTGAGACGCTATGACAGTTGATCTGATTGACATATTTTTGTAATGATCGGTGTAGTGTGCGGCACCAGCGAATACTTTGATTTTCTCTCTGCCACGTTTCAGTGCGTCATAAATAGATTAAAAGTACGTTTATATGTGTCTCGGATTTGCGTTCTAGATCATTTGTATTCGTGAGTCGTAACGGTGTAAACGTTTGCTCGTAATTGTCGACAAATCAGACAATTGAAAATGGAGAAGAATATTTTATTGTTGATATTATATTAGTTGATGCATTGTAATGTATAGTTTGTTGAAATAATTATTGAGCTATCAAATTTCAAAAGTGAATTCAGTTTTTGGGAATGGCTTATCGGCACATGCGTGAATTGAGCACGAGGGCGAACATGTTGAGCGAACTGCCGGCATTTGGAGAGATTGCTGGACGCGAGTACGCCTCGTGTATTACGTGTCTTGGCGAAGATAGCGGTCTGGGGTTGGGTTGGGTTCGGTTGTTGCATCAATTGGTTCGCCCATCAACGCCAGAGTGGGCGTGCTATTTCATTTCAGGACAGCGGCTAAGGTATTGGATATCGAAGTGTATTCCAGTCGGCTTGAATCGACGAATTCTAATTCAGCGGATGACCGAAGATATCAGAGTTACGCGGAAAAACGCTTTGCTCCCTGAATAAGTTGAATCACGAGTACTTCCATGCGATATAAGCTTTTAGCAAGGGTGCTTTCTCTGGCTGTAGACACATTGACAAACTCTCTGTGCAAAGTAAACGTTGTTGGAAAAAGCTAATTCAAGCGTTGAATAGTCGTGTAGCATCGCTATTATTGCAAGGTTGTCTCAAAGATGGATGAAGAATGAACGCTCGCCACAAACAAGTTAGTGAAAATTTCGATTTTGACGAGGGTCACGCGCTTTGACTTAGCGAAGCGAAACTCAGGTCTCCGCTGTGCGATGATCTCGCTCTCTCTCTCTCTCTCTCTCTCTCTCTCTCTTTCTCTCTCTTTCGTGCTTCGCATTAATAGTACACCGGAAGACCAAAAAAAATGGCTGCGTATAAAACAATTAGTGAAAAATAGGTAAACTTTTTTCATTTTATGACGATGAACACAAACTTCTTATAAGCAGGACCTTTTAAAGTCTATCATTATTTGGCAGTAATATTACCTATAAAGCGAATCGTCTAATTTTCAAATAGAACAAATACTTTTTAAGTTAATGCAAAAAAACATTTAAATAAGCTATTTGTTAATCTTTGCAAATCGTTAAATATTAATTGTTAAATCCATTTTAAATTGTGTGTTGTGATAGAATAAAGGTGTGTTTTAAATTTCAATAAAATATACCAATAAATTTCTATTTGAAAACCATTGTAGTTAAAAAAGAGGGTTTGTTTGAACTAAATTTCTTGCGCTACAGCAGTTGGCGAGGACTCGTTGTTTTCATTAAGAGCTATAGTATAACATAGGCTTATTCACTAATCATTTTTTGAATTTTCAATTGTTTAAAAATAGCCCCAAAGTACAAATATGTCTATCCGGCTGGAGTTCGTGTAAGAGCTGTGTCAAAAAAGTCAGTCCGTTATCTATTCGTTTTATTTTGTCTGTAGTTTCCGTTATCTGTACGTGTATATCCAAGCAGAAACTACACATCCGTACGGATTCCGTTTCCGTACGGCTTCCGTACGGATTCCGTGTGGCTTGCTGTGCGGCTTTCCTGCAAAGCCTTCGAATTCACAGTGCGATTGTTAGATAGAAAAGATCTCTTGCCGAAGTGCTTCACTGCGTTATCAATGAGACTAAAGGTGATTTGGTCATTCTGTAATATAATGACCTATCATACAGAATATCCACCAGGAAGTCTTGTTGAGCTCACTCTATTCACGAGTAGGAAAGAAGACTTGCGGTGTAATCCTCGTTTTTCTGTGCTTGTTTTTGTACTGCCGCTCCCTACTAAGTTTTTTTTTAATGGAAAATCATACAAAAAAATGTTTCCAATGCATTTACACAATGCAACCACACAATTATAGTGTAATTAGATATTGATAACAATTTTAATATAATTTAAGGAAATTAATGAAATTTAGAAATTAATCGTGTAAAACATCAACATGAAAAACGCCTCTTGAATCCTTCAGATAAAATTTTCCAAGATCTAGTTGGTAGAGGGCCTTCGGCATAGTTATTTGGCATAGGCCCGACCGCTATCGCGGGCTTATGCCAAATAACTCTTTTTATAATACATTTTTCTTCATAAAATAAGTCCAAAGAAATTTCTCTTAAAACCAGATAAATCTTGTTGTTACATTAGAATTATTTTTGGTATGGAAAATATTTTTACAATTTTTTTTAAATTTTCAGTATAGATAAGTTTATTATTACTGTTATTATCGTTCTTCAAGAAGTACGTTCGTACGAAACGCTGCAGAGATATATTAGATACCTGTGTGAATTAGACTCGGTTCGCTATAGTCATGTGAGTATGAAGGGAGAAGAAATATATATGAGTATTTTAGATATTTCAATCAGCTCAGGAACACTGGGTGACGGATTTAGTTCAAACTTTGCACAACTGTTGTAAAGGTCATCATTTTCCTAAATTTTTATAGCAAAATATTAACTTAGATCAAAATTTATTAACTTTAAAAAAATGCTGAAAATTATTTAAAAGGCTATATTTTAAAAACTAATAAAGATATAGGGATCAATTTTTTAAAAATATGTATAAAACCTTGAGCTTTGAAAATATTTGCAACGATAAACGATAATTTTTCATTGTAAAAAGTGATTAACTGTTTTCTTAAACAAATTTGAATATCTCAAAAAGTAGTTTTTCTTTTTAAATCCTTGCTTCTACGTATTCCGAAAGGTTTTTTTTATAAAAAAACTGTTACAAAATTCAAGTCCCCGTCAAGAGAATACGTGGAAACGATTAAAAGAAGGCGCTCTGACGTCTGTCCGAACGCTAGCCCCGTAGTGAACGGCGGAGCATCTTTTAATCGAGGTATTTGAATGTTATTTGTATTCAATACAAATTATGCTTCAAATTATATTTAATTTTATGAAAATATGTGGTTCGTACGTTAAGAATACAATAATTAAACGATAACAATACTAACTCTGTGTGTTTAATCAGACTTGAGACCGACGTTTTTTTAAAATTGCGTCTGCATTAAAAATATTTTATCACTTGATATACAATAAAATTAATAACATAGTAATAATAGTAATAATGAATGTGAATAACTTTATTTATTTATTTTTAATTACTTACAAACTATCGTTATTTCATATTCGGAAGATCGTGAAAGTCTTTTACATTTAAGTCTTAATTTATCTTTATTACTTAAGGGAATGAAGGCGTGAAACGATTATGTATTCGATATTGTTTTAGCTATTTCGAATCTATCTTTTAGTTTTATTTAAAGTACCTCGTATGGTCGTAGTCTTTATCACTACAGTACACACAAAATCAGTTTTAGTCATCGTTTGTAGTACCCATTTATATAGTTCGAAAGCATGACTTATAATCTTACCTTTCATGCTAGCATTTCGAGTAAGCCTTTTTACTCCTCCTCCGATTCCGTCGCAAGCATTTTTACCATGACAGCTTGCGAAAAAATACCACTCAGCTTTTATGCCGTAATCGGTATAGTTGCTAATTAAATTAATAAAATTAAATTAATTGTTGCATTGATCCGCTGCTCCGTGACGCGTATATTATTTTTTCTACGGTATTTTTTTATTTTGTATTTAAATATTCTACAGTTTTTTTTCGAAACAAGACTGCAGCGTTTTTATCAGGCTTTAACAATTCCTATATATTTACTAAAATATCCTGTTTAAATTCTCCATCTATTTTTTTATAAAATGAAAATGGATGTTATTTGACCGTTGTATTGATAGATTGCTTGGATCGCGTGTTGGAATTTAGTCTCGTAATTTTCTGAAAAGTCGAGATTTGCCATAACTTCATTATCTTTTATACTTGCTTTTACACTTTTACAAATTTACAAATTTATTCTGACTGATTACAACTTAGTCATGTATTTCAAATGAACCTATAAACAGTACTTTTAATTCTTTTTCCCCCTTAGCGACTACCTTTTTCTATTTTTTGAATGTGATATCAGCAATTGAATTGTTTCGTTCAACGTTAGCTTCACATTTTAACGATATATATACACACACACACACACACACACACACACACACACACACACACACACACACACACACATGCGCAAGTATTTTAAAATTCTTTTGAATTATTAATCAAAATATATGTTTTGGTCGGAAAGTACAAAATGAGGAGACGTCTATTTCAACGTTAGGATATTGATTCTTAAAAAATGCGAAAGCCACGTTATGAGGCAGTAACAAAAGTTCATAAGTGACTTTTGTGTAACTATGTTATTATTTAATTATCACATTCTTAACGGAAAAATGTCATATTGTCGTAAAATGAAATTCAAATCGGAGCATAATTTTGACTGAACCTAAATAACTTTTAAATCGTTTTATGACTTTAAAAATCACTTTATGACTTTTGAAGTATTAAAAGTGACAGCTTCTATGAGTTTTAACGAGACAGACCGATGGAAGGTGAGAAAAAAAACTGTAAGACGAGGTAAAAGTTGTTTTCTAGTCCAGCGCCGGTGATCCGAGCGCTGGGTCCGCTCGCTACCGTACGGCATAGTGTCTTCTTTTAATCGGTGCCATGTGTTCTTCCCTTATGACGGACACTTGAATTTTATAACGATTTTTTTTAGATAAAGCCCTCAGAAATCTGTAGGAGCAAGAACTTGAAAAAAACGACTTTTTGAGGTATTCGAATTTGCTTAAGAAAAAAATTAATGACTTTTTCTAATAAACAATTATTGTTTATCGTTGCAAATATTTTTGAATCTCAAGGCCTTACGCGTATTTTAAACAAGTGTCGATCCTCATATCTTTATTAATTTTTAAAATATAGCCTTTTGAAAAATTTTCAACATTTTTAAAATTAATAACTTTTCATCTAATTACTATTCTAGCTATTTATCATCTACATAAATGACTTATTGCAGTCACTACGAGGTAGCATGATTCTCTCTTTTGCATCATTTCCGAGGAAAATAATTGGCTTGTAGTAGAAACTAATATGAATAAGCAATTAGTGAATTAGAAGAAACAAGTGGATTACACTAAATATCTAGGTGTGATATTGGGCAATAACATCAGACGGTAGATACATTTAACAAATTTGTACACGAAAAATATCTTTTATATTCTAGAAATTCGTTAGTTTGTAGGTATTTTGTTAATTAATAATGTAGTGTGCATTTTCGAAGTTTCATATTTTTACAGTTTACTACATCTACTCCACAGACTATTTACATTTTATTAGAGTACGTAATTGTAGTTAATAAACCATTGAGACAGCATCACCGTGTCGGTACGATTGGTCTTCTTCTTTAGAGACGTTCGTCATAAACTTGGATTGTTTTGAACGCTCGCTTACTAAAAACATGTACAGGAAAAGCACGTCCGTCCATCTTTTACGAGCGATAATATATCTCGGCAATTGTTACCTTTTCCACTCGACTTCGTGGGAGGGACTTTCCCTTTTCCTTATGATTTTCCGGAAGAAGTTTCGAGATGTTCCTGACCGACTAAAAATCATCGCTCTTACTCGGACTCACAACTAGACCGGAGTTGTGATTCCTGCCAGTTCCTCGGTCTGTTTTTCCGAACCGATACGACACAGTGACTTGTAACTGCTTGTACTTAGACCAAGTACCTACCAATAAAGTTTCAGTTTATCATTCCACTTTCAATAATTTAATTATTTATTATTCACCCACGCTCACCGTTTAAAATGATACAGAATCGAGAATAAATAACACAGAAACATGTACTAAGGGAGTTCCCTACTCCGAAGGTTTCCAATTGGGGCTCGCGCGTATTGAAAAACCAATTGTTTCGCTTGCTCGTTTTAAGAGAATCGTTGATGTACTCAAAAAAAAAAAAAAGATTTTTGAGACATTGACAAAAATCAATATGTACTTTTATTTGTCCGGAAAAAATATAACCTCAAAAATTTAATATACATATACTAATGCTACATTGTATATAAACATCCCAAGACTAGGTATATCAATTTTAAAGTTTTAATATTTATTAGAAAAAATTATAAGACAAATTTAGTAAATTGGCGTTGTGTCGCGGTATCGGTTTTTATTAACATTTTCGTTAATGACGCTTGAACCATGTATCTAACTAATATTTTTAACACAGTATTCGCTCCATAATTCCAGAAGTTTCATTTAGTCAAAGTTTCGTGAAATTCTGATCGTTGGATCTATGTTACTTATTATATAGAATGTAAGGAGATATTATTTCCAATGTATTTTTCCATAAGAAGCAAAATTTTCATAAGAACGTATTATTTGTAACGTAGATAAAAATCCACTGGATATAAATCAAACTTATTATTTCACTAGGAAGAACTATCGCAAACATGTATGAAAAAAAAGAAAAAAAAAAAAAAAATTAGGAAAAATAGTCTACAACTCCCAAAAGAAAATAGATAGAAGAATTACCAGAAAAATAAAACGCAGTAAATAGATAAAAGAAAAACCTCTAACAATAGTAGGATACGAAAATAAGAAGATTCATGTTTTTAGTGCAATAATTACGTTTTTTCTATTTGTTTTGATTTAATTTTAAGTTTAGTTATAGTTCAGACCAGCGAACAGGAAGCTAATTCCTCTGCTGGATTGTAGCATTTGCTTTGTTGCACTGTACGCTATTTTTTAACAGTTATATAATTAATGTATGTGCTCTGAATAAATCATTAAAATAAATAATTCTACATATCAACAGATATATTATTTGAACTGTTCTTAACAGTTTTTTCAATTCATCTGTGACATTTGAAGAGTTTGTTCACATTTATAAATGATATTGTAAAAATTTTCGAAAATATTAACAGTACTGAATACTTCAAAATCAATTTACAGTATTTCATATGAAATATCAATTGATAATTCTCTTCATTGCTGATTATGTTTATCCAAAGCTAAATCTTACAATGATATTCAATAAATTTATATGTCCTATAATAAATATAATTGTAGTGCATTATGATCACTTGGTATCGTATTATTTTAAGGTTAAGTCATTGAGAGAATGTGAGCTTATTGTCTTTTCAATGCCTACAAATTGCCGTAGTTATTTTAATTAATTTAATAGTTCGAGTATAAATTAATGTAAATCGCCTCGATGTATTATTTAGTGGCGATTTACTCACAACAGTGGCCCACGTGAATAGATTAAGCTAATCCAATCATAAATAAACTGGCTTCACTTTCATACCTACCTCCTTTTATGAGGATTATAAGAAGGATAACTTCTCATTAAAGCTTATGTACAATTAAAGTTCTGCTTATTTTGGACTTTGTTACTGGCAGAATGCCTGGACTAAGTTATTAGTTAAGAGCGAAAAGCAAACAAGTCTTCGGTTGTCGAATGCAAAAGAGCTCGCTGAAAAGAAGGGCTGAAATGGCAGCAAAATCGTGCCTGACGTCGTTGCACGGTGGAACCGCGCAAGCGTTGCAGCTGTTAGGCAAGGTTATCGTTGCGGCCTCGAACAGATGGCTGTTTTGTCTATGACTGCGCGTTCACGAGCATCCATGCATCCACGACTACGTAGCGTCGAAGGACTTTACTCTGTACTGACGAATACTGTCGTGCGTTGCGTGCGCCAATAAGCTGAAAAAGCGCCGTGATCAAGCGGCTTTGTGCTTAATAGCGAACACCAACATGAGCTCCGGAGACAACAACAATTCTTCACTCCACTGTCTGGCGTAGCAAGTGCGTTTCATTAAATATACCAACAATCGGCTGCTCCAATAAGAAATCGTCCGCTGCTGTTGCTGCTGCTACTACTGACTCGTCATGTTTACGCGCAAGTAATAGTCTTAACAACTGTACACGAGCTGTGTTATCCAACAGGAACAGCGTTCTCCAGCTGTTTTTGTCTCTATGTATCCGGACAGCAGGTACGTGGCGCTGCCTACGGAACCATTCTGACGCTCACGAAATGACACGTGTATAAAGCGATATTTTTAGGATATTTTTTGAACCCCTCGAAATGCTTGGATAATCATCCTCAGTAATGTTGTTTTATACCGATTATTCTGCAAGTTTTTAGATGTACTTTATGTTAATATTACGTTAACAAGACGCTAATTTAAGTTTAAAAACATCGTTTTATGCATACGTCGTATGTCAGAACTCGCGTGTAATTTGGTGAGTGTCAGGACCGTTCTATAATAGCCCGTCGCTACTGTCTGGACAGTACCAAGCCGCTTGGTCTCGAAATGTCTTTGGAATTGTTGTGAAGAAGCGCAAAGAGGGAGGGAAAGCGTGTTTTCCTTGGTAGGTGCCGTCGGAAGTAGGACTTGGAGCTGAAAGGGCATTCAGCTGGATTGGCTCGAGAGTAGTGCAAGAGGCTCGCTGAATGTCAACGCGGCCCATCTGGGATAGATGCGGGTTTCGCTTTAAGGCTGCCGAGGCTCGCTCGTGCGTGCGAGAAAGACAGGCTCCAAGCGTAAGTCGAATGTCCGCCGCTGCAAGTTCAGGGCAGCCCTCCGAGCAGAAAGCCCTAGGTCTTCTTTTTTGTCAGAGTCTCAGTGGCAGTGCACCGCACACCCGTAATCCAGCTCCCAAACCTCGCGAGCTTCCGACAATTTCTCGACCGCTGTGACCCGTCTGCAGCGCCAAAGCACTTTATCGACTGGCTCGTCGGAACGAGGAAACAAGCTTCCCCTCGCAGCCTCTTGCCGCGCATTCCTGTTTCTTTGCCAATTTCAACTGGCGTACGATCGATCGTTGTCCCGAGCTACGCACCGACTCACTTGTCGAGTTGTCTTCGACAATCTCATGGTCGTGTTGCTGTGCCTTGACTGCGAGCCCGAATTTCGGCGACCGTCGCAATGACTGCACAGCCTGTCAAAGTAGGCTGCTACTGCAGCTGGCGGCCCGATCGAGCGGGGCAACCTACCGTACAACGATCCTCGCTCCCCTTTGACAACTTGACAACCTGCAGTCCCTCTCCTTCCACTCGATTCTCATTTGGCTTGTGCTTGTTGCAGGGAACGTGTGACATGTTCATCCAAACACAGCAGACGAGCAGCGTCAACAGCAGCAGTAGTAGTAGTAGCGGCAGCGCCAGTAATACCGCCCATCACCATCATCACCATCATCACCACCAGCATCAGCATCACCACCAGCAGCATCACCACCATCATCACCATCAGCAGCCGCAGCAACAACAATTGCAGCAGCAGCAGCAGCAGCAACAACCACAGCAGCAGCAGCAGCATCAGCATCAGCATCAGAGCAAGAAGCGCAAGTTGGAGTACGACAGTGTGGGTCAGCCGGTGATCCAACACGCATTGGTCCAGTCGAGCACTGACTATCAGCTGGAAACTGGCGGATTGCAGCAGCAGCAGCAGCAGCAGCAGCAGCAGCAACAACAACAACAACAACAACAACAACAACAACAACAACAACAGCAACAACAGCAGCAGCAGCAGCAGCAGCAGCAGCAGCAGCAGCAGCGATACTCACTCAGCGGCAACAACACCGCCTTCACGCAAATACACCACAACAATAATGGACCCCAGAAGCAGAGTCCCAACCAGCAAACTCTCGTCCGTGCCTCCACTATAAAGCTTCTAGATACCTATCAGCGCTGTGGCCAAAAGGTATGTACGACTAGCGTCTTATACTTTCTGGAATGATCAACCGATTGTCAACACAAGGCTTTTTCGGATGATAAGAGCACCCCATAGGGGCATTATCTGTGGCTACTATCACCGAATACCTTCACTTCCTTCCTTCCTTCCTTCCTTCCTTCCTTCCTTCTTTCAATTTAATGCCAGCGATACTTTTAGTTCCACATTGTTGATCGTGTTTGTCTCAGCGTTTGACTTGTCGTAACTACCACCTCGAGTTTAATGTCATGTACCACAATATTATTCCATCCGGGCACTGCACCATGTCCAGTGCAATAGTTATCCGATGCCTTCGTATTTCAGCAGTAACTCGACTATTTTCAGAGTACAAAGTTAATTTCTGTGATCATTTCCCTTATCAGCAGCGCTGATTGTGATATAAAGTCTGAAATCTTAAACAATCTATATTGCGAGAGCGTATATCTACCAATCGTATATTATTGCAGAGAAAAACCTGGTCGAGGGAAGGTAATGGTGAAGGGCTGGTGGTGAACGGGGCTGCCGTAGCAGGAGGCACAGCTACAACGAGCCTAGTGTCTCAGCACCACGGCCAGCAGCAGCAACAGCAGCTGACGAGTCAGCAGCAGCAGCCGCCGCAACAACAGACGCAGACCCAGGCCCAACAGTCACACAAGAGCACAGCCATGACGTCACACACCAAGCAAGTCAGTAACAACGGGAACTCCAATCCGCAGGGCGATGGCGATTACCAGCTTGTGCAGCACGAGGTTCTCTATTCTATGACCAACCAGTACGAGGTCCTCGAATTTCTTGGTCGCGGCACATTTGGACAGGTAACCTACTATTTTATTAGCGCCTCGACATTCATTAACCTCTCTGAAATAATCACTGGCCGTTTTCAATGCTTTATTCAAATTTTACCAGCACCTTCAAAAGCGCGTTTGCATAAAATACTCATCGTTTTACTTGCGTATCCGTTGAAGAATACACTATTATCCACGAGTATTCTCTTTTCTCTACTCAAACAGCTCTAAATCGAGTGCCATACAATTAAACTTTCTTTTCTTTCTCCTATATTTTCGGTTGTATTCGCGCGTTTATTCAAATGCATTGCTACAGGTGGTAAAGTGTTGGAAGAAGGGAACCAACGAAATAGTGGCCATTAAAATTCTGAAAAATCACCCTTCGTACGCTCGGCAAGGACAAATCGAGGTAATAACTCGACGATCGATCGATTTGTTTTTCATGTAGATAATTAATGAATATACTCACGTTGACCCGTGCTGTTTTTAGGTCTCCATCCTGTCTCGCTTAAGTCAGGAAAATGCGGATGAGTTCAATTTCGTCCGTGCCTATGAATGTTTTCAGCACAAGTCGCACACTTGTTTAGTATTCGAGATGCTTGAGCAAAATCTCTACGATTTTCTTAAACAGAATAAATTCTCGCCACTCCCTCTCAAGTATATTAGGCCCATTCTACAGCAAGTCCTCACGGCATTGCTTAAGCTCAAAGTAAGTACTGTGCGAGTATCATGGCTGCTACTTAGATAGCGGAATGTTTGACCGATGTTACAATTGAAATTTCAGCAACTGGGTTTGATACACGCGGATCTGAAGCCGGAGAATATAATGTTGGTGGACCCGGTACGCCAGCCGTACCGAGTGAAAGTAATAGACTTTGGTTCAGCCTCGCACGTCTCTAAAGCCGTGTGCAATACGTACTTGCAGTCGCGTTACTATCGCGCACCAGAGATTATTCTCGGTTTGCCGTTTTGCGAGGCCATCGACATGTGGTCGCTCGGCTGCGTCGTTGCTGAACTTTTCCTCGGTTGGCCACTCTATCCTGGCAGCTCCGAGTATGATCAAATACGATACATCAGTCAGACTCAAGGACTACCCACCGAGCACATGCTCAACAACGCCAGCAAAACGACCAAATTTTTCTACAGGGATATCGACAGTATGAAACGTTAAGGCTTCTCTCTTCATCTACATTTGTTTTTCTATAGTCGCTCTGACTCTCCTGCTCATTTTTGTCAGGTACATACCCTTTTTGGCGGCTCAAAACGCCCGAGGAGCACGAAGCAGAGACGAGTATCAAATCCAAAGAGGCAAGAAAGTACATATTTAATTGTCTCGACGACATTGGCCAAGTTAACGTTCCTACAGACTTGGAAGGCGGTCAGCTTCTGGCCGAAAAAGCGGATAGAAGAGAATTTATAGATTTACTGAAAAGAATGCTCACTATGGATCAGGTAGTAATATCTATTTCAACCAACAATTACTCTTATTTGATTCACGCGACGACAAATTATAACTGATAAATATGATTTTTTGGTTTCTGTAGGAGCGTCGAATAACACCAGGAGAAGCTCTGAACCACGCCTTTGTCACACTGGCTCACTTGGTGGATTACGCACATTGTAACAATGTCAAGGCCTCCGTACAAATGATGGAAGTTTGTCGACGAGCCGGAGAATTCACCGCCAGCCCGGCTCATCATCAGGCACCTCCGGCACCCCAGCCGCCACCTCCAACATCGCTGGTTGCCAACTTTGTACCGACGACCAACGGAAGCGCGGTTACGCTTACCTTTAATAATCAGGTTCAAAGACTGGTGCGGGAACACCGTACAGCTCAGTCGGGATACGACAACTTAGTAAGAACTTTGTTAACTCGTCCCCATACTTATAGTCTCAATTCGTTTCTCTTGCAAAGTTTGATTTCGTGGTTCTATTTCATTTCAGTACCAAATATACAGCAATAGCAGTCGGAGAGCGGGACAGTACAGTAGTTCTTCCGGGAGCTCTAACGGCGGTAGAAACGGCGTACACGATTTTCCTCACCAACTAGTACCAGGTATTCTTTGTCCACCTCCTGGATACCAAGCTATGCCAAGTCCTGCCAAGCATGTCGTTGTAACGCAGGTGAGCATTAAATCCTTGTTTTCGACAGTCGAACCTTAGGCGAAATGTATTCGGCATTAATGTCTAATTGGGTTATTGGGTTATTCGACAGCCCCCACAAGCTCAGCAAGCACCACTTCAAATTCAGCCGTCTATCATCTCGCAACAGGCAGTGGCAGCTGCAGCTGCTGCTGCCCAACAGCAGTACGCTGTGCCCGTGTCCATGGTTGAAACTGGCCGCCAAATGCTACTGACTGTAAATTTGCTTTGGTTTACACGTACAAAAAAGCAAGTACCAATTACAATTGTTTGATTTTCGTTTTTGCACTGCAGAATGCGGTACAAACGTCGTGGCCCGGCGGAAGTCGGCAAATGGCAGCCATTGTTCCATCTTGGCAACAGTTGCCTCCACAACATGCGACAATACAGCAGCCCCTCCTTGGCGATGCCGGAGATTGGGGCAGACCACTTATTGTCGAAAGCTCGGCTATTTTACAGGTAAAATATTGCGACTCGCTTGCGATTGCGCTTAGTACTGATATTCACATTTTTTAAATGTTTAACTTGGATTATCTTTTGCGGGAAAGCAGAGGCCGGTGTTCCCCGTGACCGAAGTGTACAATCCAAGTGCGTTGGTCGAGCACGCTCCCCCGCAGAATTGGGGCAAGCGCAGCGTAAGTAAACACCACCAGCACCATTTGAGCGTGCCCCAGCAGGCGCAGCACCGCAGCCATGAGCACAAGAAAGAGCAACAGCAATTGAGTCCAGTAAAGAAACGGGTGAAGGAGAGCACGCCTCCTAACAATACGCGTAGGCAGCAACAGATGTCCCCGTTACCTCTTCAAGCTTGCACTGGAATCTGGCAGACCCAACCTATCTTGCAGTCTTCTTCCGCGTTATCTCACCATCACTCGTTGTCCACTTCTTCATCATCCAACAAGCATCAGCCACAGCAGCCGCAACAACAACAGCAACCACAACAACCGGCGCATCAGCATCAACTCCCAGAACATCAACAAGTCTCTTATGTCCGCCAGCAGACCATTACTATACACGATACCCCTTCGCCAGCTGTATCGGTCATCACCATCAGTGACAGCGAGGATGAAACCCCGGAAAAATGGTTTGTGCTCTTTTTCATGTTATACAATAAAAACATTTTGTGTTGATCAATAAGATACATAGTATGCTCTTTTCAAAATGATGAAATAAAAAAATAATTAACGAAGAACACAATGAAATAAAGAGATAATAACGTTTGACTTAAGTTTTTGGTCGTGTTGCATTATCTTGTTGACATTTTCAACAATGCGCTGCTATTTATTAATTTGTTACAAGCCTTTTTGCCCTAGCCATTCTATTGGCAAAGTTGGCTGTTTGCGATTAATTTTCTTTCATAATTTTGTTACAGCGCACAACCGACAACTCGAGTGGTGCATAATAGTCAACAAAATCACTCGCAGAGCAATAACTATGCAGTAGTTAATTCGCAAAGGTCTCAGCGCAAGAATGTCATCACAGTAAACGATAGTGACGGCGAAGGCAGTCCCAACAATAGGTCCCACCCGGTTCACGTATATCAACAAGCATCTCAACACCAGCAGGCGCATCAGCAGACAACACAGCACATCAAACATGAACCGCAGCCACAGCACCACATCAGGTGCGTCTTTATTAATATACGTCCTAATCCTCTATTTTTGTCCTGGGTATTCTCTTATGTACGCTGTTCCTTAACCTTGAAGCAATTATTTTTTTAGCTCGGGCTACACTTCTCAATCTCAAAAGAAACGTCTGCTGGCTAAAGCACAGTCGGAATGCAACATGGTTAACGTGCAGACCAAAGCGGAACCTGGTGTGGAATACTTGGCCCCTCATCCCTGCCACTCAGCGGCTTGCAAAGAGACACCTATGTATCAGGTTTGTTGTCAACTGCGCTTTTTACGGAGAGAAAAAGAAAAGCCCAATATTTGTGACAGCTTTACAGAATTATCGACGAGGTGCGTTAGTTCATTACGTTGGTTTGGTTGCAGTACGTGTCAACGAGTAGCACGCAGCCGCACTTGCTTGAGCAGCAGATTGTCTACACGACCGGGACAACCGACAAGCGCATCTCATGGCCCAGCAAGCGTTCCGAGTACAAGCATGAATACGCGGTGCAGCCACCGGCAGCTCATTCGAGAGAGCATCAGAAGTGGGCGGTGGCTAATCCGGTGCATCAGTACAGGTAGAGTATCTTTGTGTCAAGGTTGTCAGCCGACGATTTGGAGTATTCTAATCGAGCTGGCAAACGTAATCTGACTGGCTGACTGGCTCGTGGAGTCGCGAGCAAATGATTGCGAGTCGAAAGAGGTGGAGAGATTGGTATTTAAAATCGGCTGGTCACCCCAATGATTGCAGGCAAAGCGGTGTAGTGGGCGCGAGCGGCACGGTGCACGGTTCCCATCACGCTCACCACATGAGCCCGACAAACTCGGCCCAGGGCCAGGTGGGCACGGGCAGCGGCGGACGAAGCCCTGCCGGTCCTATTATCGCTAGCGCGGCAGCCGCCGCAGCTGCTGCCGCGGCCGCGGCGGCCGCGGCTGCCCAGGGTCAGCATCTTGGACAACCGCTCTACCAGGAGTATGCGCACGCGGTCCGCCCACGGGCTCACGCAGTGCCTCCGCCCGTTTATGTCACTGCCGCCGCTCCTACTCAGCCACCCCAGCAGCAGCAACTACCAACCTACCAGGGATTCACACCCGGGTGGGTACCTAGACACCTAGTTGATGCATGCACGTGTGTACCATTTTTATTTATATTATATCTACTATTCTTATTTGCAAGCACATCTTATATTACTCTACTTGCCTCCCAAATCTCTACTCTTCTCTCTATACTGCTTTTTAATTCACAGTCACCGCGACTCGAATTTATCAAAAGTGTCATCGCTATCTTCCTTTTTCTATGACACATATCCTACTTCCAGAGATATCGTTTTTGTAGATTATCTATTTGTCACTGATACGTCATCTGAGTTTTGCCAACTAAAATTTTAGATTTATAATATTTTGCGGTTATACTGGAACTCGACAGCATTGTTTAGTAGCTTTGAAAATGATTTGATAATGAAAAAAACAACAAATCAGTATTCAAACAATTTATCATTTGTTAATTGAATAAACAATATAGGACAACGACCAGTACGTACTAGTGACTGGTTTTGGAAGTCAAGAATTTCGTTGACTTCTATCGACTAAAGTTGCCTATATAAGAATATATTAGTCTTTACTGATTCTTGAAAACAAACATTATAATAAACGATAACTGAAACGATGACAAAGAGACACTCAATCGTATAGCTCAAGAATCATTTGTGCGTACACGGTTAGGCGGCAGACAAGTGAATGTAAAGTAGAAGAATAGAGATGAGATGTTAGGAGAATGGCGTGTAAAAATGAACCAACTGATAATTGCTTTGTAATTTACAGTTCGTCACCGTTAACGTTGTACGATTCTAGTCGAGCGTTGCCGCCGCCGGCGCACCACAGCTCAGCGCGGCCGCTGCTCGCCTCGCACGCGGCCCATCCGTTACCAGCCCACATGCAGCCCACTGCGGTTTACGGGCTGGCGCCCCTCTCACCGGGCAAGCACCAGTACCAGTCCGGCCTCTGGTTCACGGAGTAGTTTCCCGCTTTCTCTTCTGCTGATTCTTCCTTTCCTCTCCGCCTCTAATTCTCCATACCATAGGACTTGCTCTGCTCGCAAGTCTGTTCTTTCAAGAGTACACAATCCCTATTTACTTTCATCAGCTCGCTTCTTCTGCTCTGTTCGTCGAACAAAGCCCCGTGTGGTATTCGTTGCTGGTCTGTTCGTCGTGTTCAGTATAAGCGATTATCTCGGAGGCCAGCTATGCCAAGTAGCCTGGATCTCATCACGCGAGGAGGATCCGGGCGTAAACGAGCAACTCTCTCAACTATGTAGACATGCATTTCGAATGTGAAGCAAATTGTGCAAATTGTTTAGACCGATAATCCGTCCGTCCTCGAATGGCCGAACAAACGGATCCTCCTTTTGGCTTTTCAATCTTCACTGCCTGCCTAAAACATGAAATATTTTTGGTTTCGATTGGCCACGTATACCGTATAAGCGATGCGGCCTTGAGATTTATGGTCTAATGTTTTTTTCAATAAACCTTTGTTCCACTGTATTCCCCATGCTGCTTGGCAACGCCAACCTGCGACAACTATTAGATGCGACTGTACTGTACAATTACAGTTACATATATGTCGAGACAAGACCTCGGCGAGCGAGGCGATTATAAAGAGGCATAGATTAGTGAGACACGTCGTATACAATTATTCAGTGCTACTCCAGAGAGGTTACGACTGGATCTTACGCGCTATTAGATTTTGTATTCGGTACAAACGATAACGTACTGCATATCGGAACTTGGCTACTTAGATTAAAGCCAACAAAAATAGCTCTTTGCTCGCTTTTAAAATGCGAAATCTCTAGCCGTACACTTGAACGATCAAGTTTGCAGTAGTTAATAATGAATTTTTTTTATTTTCTCGTTGATTTTATTTACAACTTGTGATCAACAAGTAGGTTTGCATTTCTACCGGTATGCTAGATGCGTATCTTGCTTACATAAATCTATGTATAATATTTTTATTGTTCTCGTCCGTTTTATCGTTAATTTTTAGAATAAGATTGGAAATGCGCTGCTTAGCAGATTTACTTTTGTATTTGGTCAGTAAAGGGTAAAATTATTATTTATAGTGTTGTGGAATAAGTGTGTACCTAAAGGGGAAAGTACGTCATGAAATTGTATACTCAGCCGTCGCATAAAAATACGTAGGCATTGCAAGTGTCGACGGGAAATTCATAGTTTACATTAGTCTTTAAGTTATTGGTTTTGTAGGTGTTTTTGTAAGCATCATTGAAGTTTTAGTTTTTAATTTACTTTAATATTTTCAATTTTTAAAAATACGATAACTTGGGTTGACGCGTGGCATCATCTAAATAGCAAACGCATGTGAACATTTCTTTTGTGCTCTAGAGCGTTTTTTACTTAGAATTTTTGTATTGAATGAAGAAGAAGAAAAGAAAAGCACACACATTTATAAACCGTAATCTTGTAACTATAAGCAGCTGTTCAATCAATGCGTATTAAGTGTGTAAGAGTGCGTATAGCTTGATGCTCTAACGACTGCTATTATTACTACTTCTACAATTGAACTGTAATTATTTATATTGTTATCGGGCCTTTGTTGTGCGAAGTTGTAAATAGATAAAATGAAGAGCTGAAACTGCTCTTTCATTTCGTAAAATGTTCGTGGGCCAATTAGATATCCTCGATTTTTCGCTTTATGCTGCGCTGAATGTCGTAACTGTTGCTATACTGTCCACATCGTTTTCTTGTCGTTTCATTCGTTTTAAGATTTTGAGTTACTTTTATTTTACTTACCTATACGTTTTATCGTTCAAGCAGATCACGATGAATTGCAAGAAAATATTAAATTGCAATGACTTGTTCTATAGATACCTAATGCTAATATTTTTATCTCGATTTTATTCGTTTTTCAATCTATTTGGTAGTTACTATTTCATTTCAGCATAATTTTAACTCCGTGAAGTATTTTATCAACAAAAAACAAGGTAGATGTACATTAGTAAAATCAAAATGATAAGTTATTAATAATTTGAATTAACGCGTAAGATATTTCTGCTTAGAATGTACACTCAGTCATTTTTTTCTTAACATTTTTATGACATTTAACCGTTATATACATATATATTTAGATATATGCATGCATTGAGAATTACATATTTTCTTTTGCGAGTTTCTGTAACATTTAAACCAAATTGACGATAAAACAAAACATTTTTAAAATATGTTTCTAACATATGAAAATTACTTATAAGTTTTACTGATTACTTTTACGTACGATTGAAAATAGCTATGTTCTTTTTTTTATTGTCAACCAATAGTCTTGTATATAAATTACTGTATAGCTTGAAATAATTATTACGTATGAGTATTTCCAGATAATTTACGATATTTTAAGTCAGGTTCTTCCTCATGTATTGTAATCCATTCGATTATTTAAATATTTAAATTTCTGCTGCTTGGTTCAGGTTGCTTATGCCTCGTCTAGATGTACACTTAGTAAGATTTAGTTTAACTTTCAACGTTAACATCAACTTTAATATTTTCGATCAAAAATAATAATACCTGTACGTTGCCATTGCGTAATGAAATAAGATCTGGTTTTGAATATTAAAGCGAGATTTTCTGTAAAGTATACATTTAAACAAGGCATCATTATTAAAACAGTTTGAAATAGATTTACTCTCATCGAAAAATAACAATCGAATTTGGCTAATTGAATAATTAACTTCCGATTGAAAGTTTTTTTAGTTTTTAAAAGCTATCAGTAAAGGTAATTTTTTTTTACCTTAATACAATTAATAATAATAAAAATATGAATTGATGACGTTTAAATTTTGTTTAGAGTGATACTCGTCTACAGCATTGAATGATATGTTGTATGTGTACGTTAATTACGATACATTAGTATATTATTAATTCTAATAATATACTATGTGACTTTATATTAAGAGTTGCAAAAAAATTTTGAGTTTGACTCGATTTAATCGTTATGTAATGCAGATTAATGTCTTGTATATTAGCAGTTTTTATGTATAGATTGCAACCTACCAGTTTTTAATCTACCCCCGGTAAATTAAAGACTTTTTTCATTTTATAGCAATATAAAATAGTCGTTTTACTTTCAAAAACATTTGCATAAGAAATTTTTTATCATGTTTTTATACTAAGATTCAACTTTATTTTTTCATGAATTTTATTATATTCATGTATTCAATCGATTCCAATAGAAAATATTAAGAATATTGCGATTATCACAATTTAGCGCAACAAATCTGAATATTACAAAATTGTAAAATCGAGCGTTAACTTCGCTAAAGTTTTTGTATTGGAAACAAATAGATTCGTTAAATCAAAAAAAAAAGTAATTATGACAATATTCACCAGCCAGCATCGATTAATATTGTACGACTATCTAACCACGTTAATGTGCCTGTTTAATAATTAATCCTATTACATATTTACATGATAAAGAGAATGGCAAGTAAAGAGTTGAACAAACTCAAACTTACAAATATTGAAGAAATGTTTTCTTAATAATCAATATGTAAATTACTTGACATTAGTATTAAACAATGAATGTGACTTTATTCCAAAGTGTTTACGCATTGACGAGGCGATAAATGAAATATGCTGTGTTCTTGGCAGCCACGCACTAGCAGATATGCCGTGTAATTATTGTTTTATCAAATCAGAATCGCGCGATCATTGTATGGTCCCATTTGTGTGAGTAAATATGAATGAACTGATAAGAAACAAGTAATGCATACACTTTTAGTCATATTTGCTACAAAACGTACGCAGCATAGTTTTATATATAAACATACATAATGATCATTTTTTCAGGAAATTTGACGTAGCATTATATGTTTTTCGTACTACTTAGTGCTCACTCAACAAATGCGTCAATGAAGCGTCGTTTGATTACACAGGTATACAAATAAAAGGTCATTTTCTGCATCATAAGCCAGCTATGGTATTTTCGAAGGATTTTGGTGCGCTGAATCCAAATCTGGTCTCAGCATTGTTCCATCACGTCAGGTTTTTGAGATACCCTAACCTAAAAGTGCAAAAAGCACTGTTTTTGACATATTTGAGGTTATGTAGCATCGTAAATAAATTTTATCCCAGGAAATTATTTAAAGCATCTTAAAGTACACAAATTTTCCCCTTCAAAATGCCGTTAAGTTTGCCTAAATATCTTTTTTTTTCGCTAAGATATCGCATTTTGAAATTCTCATATTCATGTATTTCTCAAAATTCGAAAATCTATTAATCCATCAAGTCTTAAGCGGACGATTTTCTTTTACTCTTTTCAATTGATCTTTTATCAGGAATAGAAATCAGGAATAAACATTTCTGGCATAAAATTGTCTGAACTTTTGATCGATGCTGTTAGAATTTTGAAAAAATGCGTATGTGTGTGTGTTAACTTCAGATTCGTGATCAGCGACCTCAAAAACCCCCGAGTAACTATGTTAGAATAAATTAACTCAAAAGAAAAATTCGTGCAACAAAGGGTTAATGGATTTTCGAATTTTGAGAAATTCATAAATATCAAAATTTCAAAATGCGATATCTCGGCGAAAAAAAAGATATTTGGGCAAACTCAACGGCATTTAAAAGGGATGATTTGTACTTTAAGGTGCTTTAAATAGTTTTTTATGAAAATATTTATTTACGATGTTACATAACCTCCCATATATCAAAAAACAGTGATTTTTACACTTTTAGGGTCAGGATATCTCAAAAACCTGACTTGATGGAACAATTCTGAGGCAAGATTTGGATTCAGCGCACCAAAATCCTTCGGGAATATTATAGCTCGCTTGTGATATAAAATTTTGTATACCTATGTTATTAATGGTAGATGGTATCTCCTAAATAATATGAGGTTTCTATTCGTTACATGATAATCTACCGCTATCTCCTTAAACAAAATAATATATTGGATTTATACGCTGTGAAATGAAAGTATCTTCCTGAAAATACGATATCATTCGCCAATAAGCGTTTATTCACAAAACAATGATAAGTATAAAAATGAACAAAAGTGGTTTAAGAAGCGTATGAGTACGTCTCATGTACTCATGACATTAAATTGATGAAGTCAAGGTAAACACTGGATAAGAGACGGTCCGAAACAGATAAAAACGTATTGTAATCATGTCGTTGGTTCTAGTTGTGATATTTTACTATAGTAAACACGTCGTTATTTAAGGAATAAATATGCATTTGTAACAATTTGGCAAGTGAAGAACGAGGGAGTATGCGGGACGAATAAATCACGTGAAACATTTACCTACATTATAATTCATACATAGCTTATGTCTAATTGAAGCCTTTGGACAGACGCAACGCTCATCGACACGTAAAAGATTGATACTCTAAGTAAGCGGGAAATAACATCAAGAGGCAGTGCATATAAATGCATCAAAATAGAAGAGCCTGGTACATTGACTGATAGACTACACGCTTTTCCCGCAATGCGATGTCTTATGGAAGAGAAGTTGAGAGAATTTCCCTTGTACAAAGCGAATACTTGTGAAGAGTGTAGGCAGAGAGCAGAAACCCTTTAGTATGCAGAGCTAGAGAAACGGAATGCATGAAAGCAAGAGTGATGGACTGTTATTGAGTAGCAGTCGCATGAATAAAGTGGTTGATTCTTAGTGGCGTAGAACACTGAATTTTTAAGTACACTCACAGAGACGTATATATTGATATAATGAACTATGTGCGCGCATTGAATATGTGTATTGGATTCGTAAATATCATACATACAGATATAAATAGGTATGATGAAAACTAAAAAAGCTTATTTTTAACCAGGAATCTTCTATGTATATATGTTTCTTTATAAATTCATGGTACTTGTTAGGCTAGGAGTAGTGCCTATACAATTCGGTAGAGTAGTTTCTAAAGTCGCGTATGTGACTGAGCTGTGGTATCGGTGAAAAAAACTTGAGTATATATATATGTGTGTGTGTATATATACACACACACACACACACACACACACACACACACACACACACACACACATATATATATATAATACTTTTAATTGTCATTGCATTGAAATATCATAGTTTGTCTAGATAATAAGAGTTTCATTTCAAATCACTGATTTCAGGTTTATCGTGTTCTTGCGATTTTACGTGACGCTCACGCCTATCGAACCGTTAAGAGCTTTCGTATAATTGTCTATTACTAATGGTGTTTTGTATTTTAGCGATGTTTTTCTAAAGAATGTGCTTTGCGATTCATTGGCCCATCTGTCTACTTACAATTGTAAGTGTAGCGTCGAATGACAAGCCACTCGTAAGTAGTCTGAAAGTTCTGAAACGTTTTTTTGATATTGTCAATCATCATCTTCTTTCATGCTTTTCACCAGATTCAAAGTTCAACATTCTGTCAAGTTCACCTTAATTTCTGAAAATAATATTTGCTATAATGAATTGAAACTAATTGAAACGTTATCGGCAGATATTAATATTTCATGTATTTCATGTTCGATTGTAGGCAACACTAATATACTTGATCTAAAAATTAATTTTTCCATCGTTGCTTTAGTTTTAAATGTAAGTTCCTTTCGTACAAGTCAGCCGAGATTATCGCGTGCATTGTTTATAAATAAGAGCGACGACTCGTGGACAGGTATTTTCTTTTCGTTTGTGTTTGTACAAAGTTTACATTTCGTTCGAAAGTAGCTATACTAGCCCAACGTTGAAAAGAAGTACAATAACTTTCCAATAATTACAGCGCGCAAGAATATTTGTAAAGAAATTTCGCAAAAATGGTCAATCAAAAGATACAAGTAGATGTGAGAATGGATAGCGTCAAATGAAAAATTATTAGAATAATGAGCACACTGTTCAAAACACATTTCTGATGAATGAACAATAAATAAAGCTGTATAGGAATGTTGTACTTCAAGACGACAAGCAATTGGTTCTCCAAGCTAATCCATTACGAAAGCTTAAAACCGATTGTACTACAACAAAAGAAAAGCTGTATTTGCAGCATGTGACAATCTTTGCCAAATTTGTTCATGAGACATATTGACTCGTGCTTATAACGACTTCTAATGAGCCACCTAATGAGAAGGAACTGGCATTGTCATGAAAATATTGCAGAAACTGTGCGAACTTGGTTACCGCATAAAAAGCAACAAGTAGAATGATATGTACTTGAAATGATTTTCTGTGATGATTCTTTGAAAAAATTAATTGTATTATACGTACATCGCAGTTGCCAAAGCTTCGTTTCAGAGCCGAGAAAGAGAAACTCTTTGTTTTCATATGTCTCGGTGCAACGTTATAGCATTTTTCCATTTGCAATTCTGTATTTTTACATGATTCTACGACTGTTCTAAGCTCTGCGACCAGTCTATAAAAACGTAAGGAACTGAACTGAATGAAAATTACTACCTACCTAGCGTAATTCATAAAATAACTGTAATACTAACTGTTTGACGATTGCGAGCAAAAGGCGTGAAGTAACGCAGCATAAAGATCACATAGAAATAGATGAGAAGCATAGAGAGCAAGATAAATGTGTAATATACGACATATTTTTGGATTTCGATAGATGTGCGTATTCCTTGTATGTCTTGTATTAAATTTAACCATTCGAAATGACAAGGTGATCGCGATCTATTTAGCAAATTTTTGGCTTGAGAGTTTCAAACGCTGATAGATTTCGTTTCAAGTGCGATGTCGTAAATATTTTTTTGAAAGTCGATTAGAAAATAAGCAGCCCTTTATTTTGGCTTCCAACGCAGACTCTGGACCCGACGCACAGACACACGCACAGACCGACTAAGACAACTTGCATGTTCGTGAAGCCTGCATCATTTTAGATTTAGATAATGGTTTTAATGAGATGACGCTCTTAGCTTGATCATACTCCAATTTGAATGCGCAAAGGTAACGTGTGCAAAGTGAGACAGTTGTTGAGGCACTGAACCGCTTGAAGTTGTGAGTAGAATTATCTGCGAAAATTCTAAGATTACATCACGAAGTCTAAGCGATTTTATTGCTTACCCAAGGATACTGTTATCAATAGTCGGCATCATTCAGATCGCTCAAGCAGTCTGTATACTCTTAATTTATACATGCTTTCAACGGTTCGCTTGGACTCTCCTTGCAAAATGACTTTATTCGAAATACCCAACATTTGACCTACTGATCGTGTAAATAGTCATTAAGTCTACTGTAATCACCAGAATATTATTACTCTATGTTTGTTGCGATGTCGGAAGCCGTTCACTGATACTTGAAAGGCAGAGCAGGTGTCTTTAATTTCTACTCGTGCATGGGATACATCTGTAAAAAAATAACATTTGTAACAATTGCGGAATATACTTGTTAAATTTCAAAATAACGATGTACAATTGTAAAATATTTGATAAAGAAAGATTAAAATTTCAAAATGGAAAACGTTTACTTTAATTTATATCAAGTACGATTATATCATTTACATGTGGATGACTAAGTAAAAAAATCTCACATTTCCAAATATACGTTTCTTTTTAAAGTCTCAGAAAAAGTACGGATACTGAAGATTGTTGAATATATATTGGCGGTCGTAAGAATTCAGTAATTTTGCTTAGTTTTGCACGCACTCATCGCGATCAAAGTGTTTTCAACACTCCGTGTGCACCCATAGATGACACTGTGGACGCATTATACTGTCACAATGAGCGGCAACGTGACGTCCAAGTGCATTTGCATTCTGACGACATGTTGCAAGCACGCCGTGCGCTCATAATGCCTGCATTGTGATAGTGCGTATGGAAATAATTGTTTTCCACGGTGTGCGGGAATTCTGCCGACATTATGCCTTCCAGTTCAGCCGCGCGCCGTGCTTGCGTTATGCAGTTATTATGATTGCATTTTATAAAACTTTTAATAATCGATATTGATATCATCATCATCATTATCATCATCATCATCATCATCATCATCATCATCATCATCATCATCATCATCATCATCATCATCATCATTATCATTATTATTATTATTATTATTGTTTTTTTAGGTTACGCAAATTTAAATAAAAATTATACTATTATTTAAAACAAAAATTTCTTTATTAAATATAAATAATTACTAATATTAAAGCATAAGCACCTTTTTTAACTTCATCGTAGTATGAATTTTGTTCCTTTATCAGTAAATATTTGCTTCTTTATTTTTTCTTGAGAAATTTCATGGAATCATAGTTCAGTTTTTCCAAACTGTAGAATATAATAAATTGATATAAGTTTGAATGAAAACATTAAGAGTGTAATTAAGCTTACTATTATACTAAGTGTTGCAATTTTGAAATCATTATTAACTATTTATCTGTTTTGTTGTTACATATGTCAAGCTGTCAATATTATGTAATAATGAAGATCTAGTTAAAGAGAAAAAAAAGTTGTGAGATTTATTGATGTATCAACAAGATAAAAATTAAAAAAGCAGTTTCTTACACCAAACGTTCGAACCATTATTAGAATCTCAAATAAAAAAATTGACACTTACTACCATGCCTTGAGTGTAGTAAGTCTTAAAAAATATGATTAAAGATCGAGCTTGTAAATTATTATCAATTCATTTTTCTAGTTTACTAATTCACTATTTAGATAAGTCCAGTATGTATACTAATACAAATGAATTAATATGAGCTTGATCTTTAACAAAAAACATTTCCACCAGGGGTATACTATACTTAAGATTGACTTAAAATTTCTATTTAATATTTTTTAAGACTTATTGCAGTCAAGATATGGTAACGTTCGTGAATGTGCACTTATTTATCTGAGATTCTGATGATGATTCCAAATTTTCTGTTCTTTAATTAGATCTTTATGATGACACGTTTATTGACAGCTCTATAAATGGATATTTGATTAAAACATACAAACAGTTGATAATGAATACTCAATTCTAATATTTATTACAAATATATAAAACTGTATGTGTGTATGTGTGCGTGCGCGCCCGCGTTGTGTGCATGGTACGTACAAAACTATGATAACTGCAGGCAAATCATTAGAGTTTCTTGTTTGTACCTTGTGCACCCAAATATCGATCAATCCTCGTTACATTTCTGATCTGTAGACGATCGATGAGTTTTTTCTTGAAAGTGTAGTTTTTTTCACTGGTGCAGATGAAATCCTGAAAAATAAGGACAAGGAATCAAAATCTTTACTAATAAATTATTAAAATAACATGGAATTCACAATACTCATCTGAAATTATCCTGATGAAGTTGTTTATCTTTTTATACTAATGGGTCAATTAGCATCTTTTTTTTTTACTTTATTTATTTAACTAAAGTCGCATCTCACTGAGAAGGGTATTAGTGACTTGTCGATATATACGAGGGTCGTTTGAAAAGTCCGTGCAAAAATAAAAACTGTCTCCTTTTAAGCTTATACACTTCATCCAACGCTGCTCTAGTTTGTTAATCCCTTCCAAATAATAGAATTTGTCCAAGTCTGTAAAATAGGCATTCGTTTCTGCAATCACGTCCTCGTTTGAATAAAATCATTTCCCCGCCAGCCATTTTTTCATATTAGGGAATAAATAGTAGTCCGACGGAGCCAAGTCTGGAGAATAGGGGGGATGTGAAACGAGTTGGAACCCTATCTCTATTAGTTTTGCGGCCACAACTGCTGAGGCGTGAGCTGGCGCATTGTCGTGGTGGAAGAGGACTTTTTTGTGGGCCAATCGTGGACGTTTCTCTAGCAACTCGGTTTTCAAACGATCCAATAACGATGAATAATATTCGCCTGTAATGGTTTTACCCTTTTCCAGACAGTCGATGAAGATTATTCCTTGCGAATCCCAAAAGACAGTCGCCATAACCTTCCCGGCCGAAGGAATTGTCTTCGCCTTTTTCGGAGCAGATTCCCCCTTGGTAACCCATTGTTTAGACTATTCTTTGGTCTCAGGAGTGTAGTGATGTATTCATGTTTCATCTACAGTGATGAAACGACGCTTAAAGTCTTGCGGATTTTGCTGGAACAGCTGCAAACCGTTCTTGCAACACTTCACACGATCTCGTTTTTGGTCAATCGTGAGCAATCGCGGCACCCATCTAGCGGATAGCTTTTTCATGTCCAAATGTTGGTGCAAAATATTATGTGCCCGTTCGCTCGAGATGCCTACAGTACTAGCAATCTCACGCACCTTCACTCTTCTGTCAGCCATCACCATATCATGGATTTTATCAATGATTTTTGAAGTGGTAACTTCAACAGGGCGTCCAGAACGTTCAGCGTCTTTTGTGCTCATATGGCCACTCCGAAAATTTTGAAACCACTTATAAACCATTCTAATCGAAGGTGCACAATCACCATGACGTTTATCAAGCTTCTGTTTAATCTCCTGAGGCGTTTTGCCTTTGAAAAAGTAATGTTTAATCAATACATGAAATTCTTTTTCGTCCA